TGTTTTTTTTGCTCTCCCAAACTAGATCTGATACCTGATGAACACTTTCGTGTCACCAAGCATCTGGATCAGATTGTAGTTCATGACGCTACTCTCATGCAGTAAAAACAAATTCAGAAGAAAAAGTTCTAAGCTTCAGCTCAATAGCCAATGGAATCCTCACCGAACATATATATCCCCATCGAAAATCCCTTAATCCCAACAATAAAACTACTCAGACATAATGAACGAAATCAAAGACATAATATTAAGAAGTAGAATAGAAACCGAAATTGATAAAGAAAGAACAAGGGTTCAAGAGAACAAATCTCTCTCTCCCTAAAAGCTAAAGCAAAAACAATAAAAGTATGAAGTAATGATAGATGGTATTCGGTTCTACGATTTCTAGGACTCCTAAGACATGTATTTATAGTGCTCAAGACCTCTCTGGACGTCACTTAGGGTTTCTCCAAATGTGGGCTTCAGAAATGGGCTTTTTGGGCTCGGAGGTTGAAGGCCGCGGTTGGGAGTGCTCTGACCGCGGGGAATGGGTAGTTTGCCGCTGTCGGGTTGCTCCTGACCGCGGGAAAATGCTTGTTGGCCGCGGGTGGAAGTGCTTGCCAGCTGGTTTACGGGACATCTTGCTCTTCGCGTATCGTTTGATTGAACCGTTGGATTGCCAAGCTGTAAAGTGCACTGGAAAGCTGATACTTCCATCTTTAAGGTCTCCAAATTTGAGCTGGATCAGACGGTGAGAAGGCCTTCAATCAGGGGTGAACTTCTGACGGTTTGACTCTGAGCTGAAATCTGGTTTTCTATCCATTTTGTTAAGCTTTTTCCTAAGTTTTCTGAAAAGAGTCTTGGAACTACAAATACTAGAAAAACGTGATAAAAGTACTTAAAAGCAATTAAAAACATAGAAAAAGTATTTCAAAACGATCCATAAAAGTATCAAAATACGGTGTTATCATGGAGGAGACTGACGTAGGAGATAATTAGTATTTTCCTTTTTTCTTATTCTATGTTTTCCTTTTTGTTTTATAACTAGGATATTTCCTTTTTTCTGGTTTAGTTTTTTTCTGGTTTAGTTTTCCTCTATAAATAGAGGTTCTAGGTTATTTGTGAAGGAAACAACTTTATTTTCCAATTAATCAAAGCAGAGAAGTTATCTCTTTCTAGTGGATTCCAGAGTCTTATTCTTCTCGTTTGTCGCTTGCAAACTTGTTTTCAATCTAGGATTAACTCTTGTTAAACCTAGAGGTTTCCGACTGCGTCAACATAGGATTTTAAAAAGCAATTTTATTGGTCTACATCATCATTCAAAATTAAGGAAATTTTCCAAATTTTAATATTATTATCAAATAAGGAAATTAAAAAAGTTTACAAATTCTAATATTATTGCTAAATAAAAAAAATTTGTATAAATTTTTTATTGGTCCACCTCAACATTGAAAATTAAAAGTTTCCGAATTCTATTATTATTTTTTAAAATAATTAAAAATGAATAAATTATATATAAAATTTATATTAATAATAAAAACTAAAATAAATAGTTTTAAAATAGAAAAAAATAAATTTAAATTAGAGTTTCAACTATATAAATAACTAAGTCCAAATAAAATATTAAAATTTATTTATATATGTAACACATATATTTAGAGACTCCTACATAGAGTAATTTTTTTATGTCACATAGAGTTATTTTTGTATGTATGTACAACAATTTTAATTAAAAAAAGCAAAAAAATAGAGTTACATTTCACTAAAGAATGAATCATTACAACGTAAAATTAATAACAACCTTGACTAAACTATATATTTAAATTTAGCTAAATTAAAAAAAATATAATGAAAGAAAATATAAACAAAGCCATTACAAACCGCTTTAATATTGAAAAAGATACCGTAAAATCTCCAAAGCTTGGTCACCAGATTTGAGAAGAATGATACATTTCAAGTAATCCGAGAAACATGTCAAGTGATTGATATCCGTAAATTTTGAAAAAAGAAGTACTAAAAATATAGAAAGAGGTTCCGTCATTAAGGCGAAGGAGACTGAGATACCCGAGGAAAATTTTTGGAATAACATGGCATCTGACAAGGTTTTTAGCAATCCAACCCGAACCACAAAGATAACAGTTAGCTGAACCAAACATCATCAGAATACATTCAGTAAGCCTCAAAACATGGAGGAGAGACAAAATTAATTGCTGCAACAGGCTTCATGTAGGATCTTCCAGCGTTAATATCTAAATATCTTATACTAATAAAATTTAAAGCTAAATGCTTTTTAGGGTGTCCACATAGAATTTTAAAAGGCAATTTTACTGGTCCACATCATCATTCAAAATTAAGAAAAAATTCTAAATTTTAATATTATTGTTGAATAAAGAAATTAATTTTTTTTACAAATTCTAATATTATTGCTGAATAAAGAAACTCTGTATAAGTTTTTTATTGGTCCACCTCAACATTGAAATTAAAAAGTTTCTAAATTCTATTATTGTTTTAAAAAATAATTAAATATGAAGAAATTATATATAAAATTTATATTAATAATAAAAACTAAAATAAATAATTTTAAAATAGGAAAAATTTAAATTTAAATTAGATGTTTCAATTATATAAATAACTAAGAACAAATAAAATATTAAAATTTATTTGGATATGTATACACATATATTTAGAGACTCCTACATTAGCATCCAAATTTTTGTCACATAACTATAAAAAAAATTGTAAGTTATTTTTGTATGTGTGTACAACCATTTCAATTAAAAAGCAAAAAAATATAGTTAGATTTCACTAAATATATAGTTAAGATTTCACTAAAGAATAAATCATTATAACGTAAAATTAAGAACCAACTTGACTAAACTATATGTTTAAGTATTAGCTAAATTAAAAAGAATATGATAAAAGAAGATATAAACAAAGCCACTACAAGCCGCTTTAATATTGAAAAAGAGATCGTAAAATCTCCAAAGCTTAGCCACCGAATTTGAGAAGAATGATAAATTTCAAGTAATTCGAGAAACATGCCAAGTGATTGATACACGAAACTTTTGAAAAACGAAGCACTAAAAATAGAGAAAGAGGTTCTGTCATTAAAGCAAAGGAGACTGAGATATCTGAGAAAAATCTTTAGAATAACATGACATATGACAAGATTTTAGCAATCCAACATGAACTACAAATGTAACAACTAGCTGAACCAAATAACATCATAATACATTCAGTAAGCATTAAAACATGGAGGAGAGACCAAAATCTCGTGTGGGATCTTCCAGCGTTAATTAAATATATTACAAATAATGCCTGAAGCTATATGCCTCTAAGAGTGTCCACATAGGATTTAAAATTTCACTTTTATTGGTTCACATCAATATTTAAAATTAAAAAATTTTTTATATTTTAAAACTGTATTGTTAATAAAAAAAATATTTATAGAAAAATAAAAGTTGAAGTTATATGCCTCTAAGGACATTCACATAAGATTTAAAAGGTCAATGTTTTTAGTCCATAGCTAAAATTAAAAAAGTTTCTAAATTTTAAAATTACATTGATAATACAGAATAATATTGGAAAATTTTAAAATTTGTTAATTTAAACTATTCTATTATTAATAACAGTTTAGCCATATTAATTTCAATGCATCCCCATCAATATTTAAAAAGGTTTAAAAAACAAAATCTCCATTAACAACAAAAATAAACCAACATGATACTAAAATCTCCATTATCACTGTTTTTGTTACAAATTTTTTTTTTTTTATATAAAAACATATATGCTACTTATACAAATTTAAGTTTTTTGATTTAAAGGCTTTTCAAGTATAATTTTAAATAAATAATATTTATGATTTATATACATCTAAATTTTTGTCACATATACAAAACATGTTTCCACATAATATTATATAATATATTATGCAAAAATGATTAAAAAATACATTTGTATATTAGATTTGGAATTGCAATAAATTAATAAAGAATTTCTTAGTTTTGAGTTATCCAGTTTGTTATTCATTTTTCTAAATTTGTATTATTTAAATTATATCAATTTTTCTATTTAATTATAATTAGAAAAAGTGACAATGAATATGATGATAAAACATATCATGAATATGATCATAAAACAAATCATTAAAATAATCATTAAAAAATTATTAAAATAAATAAAAATAATATATTTATTGAAAAAACATATATAACAAGAATAAAAATGAATATGATGAAAATTATTTTTTATTCTTATTAGAAGAGATGAGATATAATCATTGAAAAATTATTTAAAAGTTAACCCAAGCAATCGACAAAAATATTTAATTCACAAATTTTGTGTGATTTTAATCATTTTATATTCAACTATTTTTTTGTTTCAAAAGTTGTTATTAATCTCAAAGCAAAATTTTATTTATTAGTGTTTTTTTAATTAATAGATCAAAAAATTGTATTGGTTTGGAGAAGAAAAAATATTAAATTTAAAATCAAATAATTTTTGATTTTTTTAAAGATCATATATATAATTGGAATGAACGTGAAAATGATGAAAAAAAATTATCTTCTTGATTTGAAAAAGTGAATGTAAAATATTTTTTCGTCATGTCAATACTATGTTTAAAAAGTAGCATTTGATTATTTTGTAAAAATTTTATTCGGGTTGAGTATATTAACTTATAAATATTTGACCAAATAGTACGGTTTTGAAAAAAGATATATTGTATATAAATTAAAAAAACCGTTGAAACCTCATAATTTACATAAAAATTATTAGATTAACATCACAAAACTTTTAATATATTATTAAAATACTAATATATAAAATTTATATCTTAATAAATATAATTAAATGCTTAAATCTTTATCAACAAAATATCCACGCGTAGTGTAGACGCAAAATCTAGTATTTTTATAATAAAAACTTAACCTTTATAAACTGATAAGAAAATTTCTATTTTACTATATTTATTATACACAAATTAGAAAATATAAATAATATATAAATCCGTGTGTATACCCGGGTCTTCAGTTTATCATAAAAGCTAACAATCGAGCATCTTCTCTAGTTCTCCTCCATTGCTATTTGATATTTGCTCCAAAATCTCAGTTTTTGTTTGTTCGGGGAAGATGAGTATCACGCGGATCTTGTTATCTCTAGTAATTGTTTCACTGTTTTCAAGCTCCCATCTCTTGGCCGATCAGATCTTTCCAGCTCATTTAGGTATGTACTGCTTACACGAACCATCTCTTAATTTCCCGATCAATTTCGTGTTTTTTTTTTCCCTCTTCAATTTGGGATTATTCCAATGATTCTGCTCGATTTTACCATTTTTAACAGTTGGAACATTCAGCCGAAACAATCGTGAACCAAAGTACACGATCCAGTTTCTTCCTCAAGATGCACCTTATCACCCGGTAAAATCAATCTCCATTTCTTCACAATTATCTGATTTCTGACCCTGAACGAAATTTGTTTGACCCTAATGATTTTATTATTATTCATAGGGTGATAATCTGGAAACTATGGTTATGATTGATAAGCAAAGGCGTAAATTCTTGTGTTTCTTACCTAAGGAGGAAGAACCCATGAGCGGATGGAGCTCTACTCAGCAAAACGTTAGCACAGTGATGATGGAAACCGATAAACAGCTGAAGCTAAAGACTCCAGACGAACTGCTTCAACCACTGAATGAAAAATGCCTTATCCGGGTAAGAGCCGATGGCCTTGGTTTTCCACATTTCATGTGTTTCTTTGACCAGATTTTAAGCGAAATGTGTGTGTGTTTTTTGTTTGGTGTTGCAGCAAGAAGGTTGGTGGTCTTATGAGTTTTGTCATCAAGGGTCGGTAAGGCAGCTACATATTGAGGATGGCACCAAGGTATTTGGTGATTGACTGATTTCTTGATTTTCTCTGTTTATAATGATCACATTGTTGCCTTTTCGTGCAACTAGTTTTATCGTATATGCAATCCGCTGTATTATGAATACCCTTTTGTGTCCTGCAATCTGCTAACTTTTGGTGATTTCTTGATTTCTCTGTTTATAATGATCACTTGTTGCATTTGATCGTATATTCCGTTGTGTAAGCAAATATGGCTTTTATGCATACCGCTGCCCTTTTGTGTCCTGAAATCTGCTAGCTATTGGTGATTTCTTGGTTTCTCTGTTAAAAATGATCACTTGTTGCGTTTTCTTGCATCTAGTTTTATCGTACATTCACTTGCGTAACTCTCCTATGGATTTTATGCAATCAGATGTATTATTAATACCCTTTTGTGTCCTGCAGTTTGCTAACTTTTGGTGATTTCTTGATTTCTTTGTCTATAATGATCATATGTTGCCTTTTCTTGCATCTAGTTTTATCGTATATTCACCTGCGTAAAGTCCTATGACTTTTATGGAATCCGCTGTATGAATATCCTTTTTGGTGTCCTGGAATCTGCAGATTCTCCAAGAGTTTTCTTTGGGTACTTATGACCCAGAGGCAACTGCTGCTTTTAATCAGAATGTATCTGATGCTTCTACAATGAAAGAGAGGTTTTTTCTTTTACATAACCTTTGTAGTACAAGGCTGTGTATATCTCAGTTGGTTTTGATATCGGTGTTCTTTGCAGGTATCACTCACATATATACACCAACGGGACCACCTGTGATCTTACAGGAACGCCTCGGGAAGTCGAGGTATAAACCTGGTGGCTGCGATTTTTCATTTGGCTGATGGAATTAAGGATTTTCAATTGTTCTTGATATTTCTCAATGCAGGTGAGGTTTGTATGCGCAGAAACCAGGGCAATGGTCACTTCGATCACAGAGCTATCCACTTGCAAGTACGCACTGACTGTTCAGTGCCCGACCTTGTGCAAGCATCCGTAAGAAATCTCGTTTACTTCAAGTCTAATTTTCAAAGAGAGACTTTTCTTGCTTCCACATCATCGTTATGGAGACACTAATGAAAAATATATGTTTTTATCATGCATGTTGGTTACCAAAGACATAAACAAAGACAAATTGAAAAGATGTTCTGATATGGGGACATACAGTTTAGTTGAAGAAACGAGTCATCCATTTTATAAGTAAACTCACGATCTCTTGGTTTGTGAAACTTCTTTTTCTTTGGGGGCATTGCAGACATTTTCAGCTAGAGAAACCAGTGTCACACACGATCCACTGCAATTTGATCCCATTGGAAGAAGACGCAGCAAGAAACGAGGAGGGAGGACGAGTAGTAGGCGAATCACCTAAGGATGCTGATTCTTGAAAACCGCTTAACCGAATCGCAGTGGTAACAGTTAAAACAGTGACTGTATATATAAGAGCTAGTATATCTATCTCAATGGTACTCGTTCAATTGTTCAAGAATCATGGATATAAACCGGTATTGCTTGCCGGTAAAATGATGATACAATTTGAAGTTTGGAACCGGTTTGAATTTCCTTTTGTAGAAACTGATGGTAGAAATATAATACAGAGGATTCGAATTCTTTGCAGTTGATTTGTTTGGGTTTATTCTACTATGGTTATCTTCTGCCACAAGGATTGGGCGATATCCTTTGGTTATAATTGTTTTTGACAAAGTTAATATATAGATGCAGCCAAAATACTATTTTTTTCATAAGAGTGCGTTACATAACTTATCATTTTCTGATTTGTAATTACACCAATAAAACACACCTTTTGAAAATAAAAAACCTAAATCCGAAATCCTCAAAAAAAAATAATACGTTAAAAATATTAGAGATTCCTTACAAAACCCAAATTTATCTAATATCAACCCCATTAACCTATTTATGTCTATGGTTTTCATCACGTAGATTCATATATAACTATAAGTGTGTTATGAGAACAAGAAATGTAATTTTGGAGTTGCCAGTTGTGCAACTCTTTTCTTTCTATTTTATGAGTATCAATCAAAAACAATTTTATACTTGTTGACAACTAAGAGTTTCTTCATTTCACTTTTAATTTCTTGCACAATAAAGCTCCAATGAGCTATTTCCCTTTATATCTTTGATTTTCTATCACAATAAAGTATAAATATATACTTGTTTTGACAATCTCTTCATGGTATCAGAGCTGCAGTCGGTTCATGTGTTTGCTTGTTCATCGAGGAAGGCTGTTTTGTGTTCGGAGGCGCACCCAAAGTGTTTAGGCTCATCCTCTCCAAACAGAAGTTCAAAGATATAAAGAAAAATAGCTCATTGAAGTTTTATTGTGCAAGAAATTAAAAGTGAAATGAAGAAACTTTTAAGTTGTCAACAAGTATGAATCTTTTCTTTGATTGATACTCATAAAATAGAAAGAACAGAGTTGCACAATCGAAAATTCCAAGGTTACATTTCTTGTTCTCATATGAATCTATTTGATGAAAACCTTAGACATATAGAGATTAATGGGTTTGAAATTAGATAAATTTGGGCTTTGTAAAGAACCTCTAAAAATAAACCTGAAAATTAAATACTTGTTATAAAATATATTGATTATACATTTGGGAATTGCTTTCTCTCCAAGGTTCTTAACTTTTAACATTCATTTCCTTTAGAGATTTATCCCACTTAAACTATTTTGTGTCAATGCTATTGTAAATGATGTACAATCAAAAAAGAGAAATAACAAGAGATCTTGATAGTTTTGGTCTTCACTCTCTAAATCTCTCTCTAAGTCTATTTTCTTTAGTATTTACATATACTTTAAATATATACGAACGTATTTTCGAAGTTGTATTTCACAACACATTATCAGCATGATCATCTCTTTACTCGTTCGTATTCGAAAAATACGATCTGAGTCTTGATCCGTTCATACGTTTGGAGGTAAGATTTAATTTATGTTTAGTCTATCTAAATTTTATATATGATTTATGAAAACTGAAAGATAGGCTATGCCTTCTTCATTTATGTATTATTTTTGGAAAGATAAGCTATGCTTTCTCCGAAATAAACAATTATATGGTAAACTATGTCTACTCACATAATTATTATATAGTTGATGGTTTAAACCTCCTCCTTGATCATATTTTATACAGTAAAAAGTAAGCCTCCTTCATTATCACAAAATGATGGAGTGGAAAGTTAACCCTCCTCCGTGTTCATATTTATGGAATGGAAGATTAAGCTTCCTTTTTGTTCATATTTATGGAGTGGAAGGTTGGACCTCCTGGTCTATATTTATAGAGTGGAAGGTTAAGTCTCCTCCTTGTCTATATTTGTAGAGTGGAAGGTTATGCCTCCTCCTCATTTTTATAGTAGGTTCAGCGTCCTCAAAATCTATGAAAGCTATACCAAGTATGTTATTATTATGAACTAAATATTTAATTTGTTTTTATTACAATAAGTTTAAAGACACTGAAACATATCTTTAAAAGTAATTGAGAGCTCTGATAGAGGTAGAAGCTCTAGAATAGCTAAAAAGCTTTCCGAAAATGCTAGAAGCTCTGGAAGAGCTTTGATATGATCCTTGGTGTGAGGATCAAACCCTAGACTACTTTCCAATGGTTGCGCAGTATAGATCGGATATTTGATGGATTTGCGGAATGAAACGAAGTGATATGGGTTTGTGAATGATTGTAAAGCTTAGGTGGAAGTGCCTTGATACTTCTAAGAGTGATGGAAGATCTCTTAAACTATCAACAGATTAGTTGCTTGTAAGGAAAGGATGAAGATCCGAATTCACTTAATCAAGCTGGTGATCAAATAAGTTCAGGGAATAGTTGAAAAGAAAAGGTTTGATAAATTGAAAAGAAGGAGAATGAGTCGTACATATAGAGTCTCTGAATACTTAGAAAATAACAAAGACAGCTAATAACTTTAAAGACTCAAAGACTAACGTAAACAGAGTTTGAATCTTGAGAAAATAGGCTCCTCCCTTCCTTGGACGAATTGATGAATGGACTTGGGCTGGATTTCATCAAGAGACCTCTTATTATAGTGTTGTGAACAAGCCTCATTAAAAACCTTGTTTGGAAAACTCAAATGGTACAAAACCAAACCAAGGGAAAAAGAGCACAAGTCACAACACCTCTCTTGATGAACTATTAAGTGGCTTGTGTCCCAACCAGTGAAGTTGGATTAGCACACCTAAGATTGCCCTGGATCGAATATATTAACTTGTGAAAAGCTTGCTTGAATCTCAAAGCCTTGGCTCTTGTCATATGGTCCGAGAGAAAGATCTAGGTCTGTGTCTTCTTCACTTGCTTCCTCTGGTTTCGGCTGCTCCTTATCTTCATCTGTAACTTCATCAGGTTCTAGTTCGAGCTTGCCCTCTTCTCCATTAGTTTCCTCAGTTCCAAAGCCGGCCATGATCATATCATCCTCTCCCACTTGAAAAGGATTTGACCTCAAATCTGTATCTCCTACAAAAAAAGGAACTAAGTCAGAAACACTGAAACTCAGACTCACAGAATACTTACCTTGGAGATCTAATTGGTAGGCATTTTCGTTGATCTTCCTGATGATCTTGAATGGTCCATCAATTCTGGGCATGAGCTTAGACTTTCTTTCATTAGGAAATCTGTCTTTTCTTAAGTAAATCCACACCATGTCTCCTTCTTCAAAGGTCATTTCCTTACGGCCCTTGTTAGCATGTTTGGCATAGTACTTAGTCTTGTTTTCAATGTTGATCCGCGCCTTCTCATGGATCTGTTTCACAAGTTCTGCCTTTTTCTTCCCATCCAAGCTAACTCTTTCACTCAAAGGTAAAGGCATTAGATCCAAAGGTGAGGTGAGATTGAACCCATAAACAAACTCAAGTGGGGAAAACTTAGATGCAGAATGTTTAGCATGATTATAAGCGAATTCAACATGTGGCATTCTTCCCAAGTTTTAAGGTTCTTTTTAATCAATGCATGCAACAAGGTAGACAAGGTTCTGTTAACCACTTCAGTTTGACCATCTGATTGTGGATGACATGTAGTAGAAAAGAGCAATTTGGTTCCTAACGTCGACCAGAGTGTTTTCCAAAAGAAACAAAGGAACTTAATGTTTATATCAGAAACTATAGTTCTAGACATGCCATGCAATCTCACAATGTCTCTAAAGAACAACCTAGCAACATTCATGGCATCATCGGTCTTATTACATGGGATGAAATGAGCCATTTTTGAGAACCTGTCTGCAACTACAAAACAGAGTCTTTTCCGGTTTTAGTCCTAGGAAATCCAACAACAAAATCCATAGAAATGTCATGCCATGGATGCAAAGAAATGGGCAAAGGGGTATACAAATCGTGAGGTTGTTTCTTAGCTTTGGCTTGCTTGCAAGTAACACATCTTTCACAAGCTCTCTCGATGTCCTTCTTCATATGTGGCCAGTAAAAATGTTCTTGGACTGTGCTCAGAGTCTTGGCTACGCCAAAATGACCCATTAGTCCACCTGCATGAGCTTCTTTGACAAAAAGATCTCTAATAGACGAGTTAGGCACACATACGCGATTTTCAAAAAACAGAAAGTCATCGACTCTATAGTATTTCCCACTGCCAAACTTCTCGCACGAAGGATATATGTCCTTGGAATCAGCATCAGTAGGGTACAGACTCTTAATATGTCCAAACCGAGTAGTTTGGTCTCTAAAGTGTTCAAGAGAACATACCTGCGGGATAAAGCATCGGCAACATCATTATCTTTACCTTTTTTGTACTTGATAACATATGGAAAGATCTCAGTGAATTCGATCCATTTAGCATGCCTTTTTATTCAGCTTTTTTTTGGCCCTTTAGGTACTTAAGAGACTCATGATTAGTGTGAATGACGAATTCTTTGGGCCAGAGATAATGTTGCCATGTTTGGAGAGCTCTCACAAGCGCATAAAGATCCTTGTCATATGTAGGATAATTTAGTGTAGCTCTTCCAAGTTTTTCACTAAAGAATGCAATAGGCATTTTCTCCTGCATAAGAACAGCACCAATACCAATTCTTGAGGCATCACATTCTATCTCAAAAATTTTATTAAAGTCAGGGAGAGAAAGCACCGAGAATGAGTAAGCTTGTCTTTCAAAGTTTGGAATGCTTCTTCCTGAGCGTGTTCCCACTTGAACCCCACGTTTTTATTATAACCTCAGTGAGTGGAGCTGTGAGAGTGCTAAAATCTTTGACAAATCTTCTATAAAAACTCACTAGTCCATGAAAAATTCTCACTTCTCCAACTGATTTTGGACTTGGCCAATCTTTGATTGCTTTGAGCTTTTCCTCATCAACCTTGATTCCATCTGCACTCACAACAAAACATAAACAGACAAGGTTATCTGTTCCAAAAGTGCATTTCTTTAAATTATCATACAAGGTTTCCTTCCTAAGCACTTCTAAGAGTTTTCGGAGATGCTCCATATGTTCATCTAAGCTCTTGCTGTAAATCAGAATATCATCGAAATAAACTACAACAAAATGACCTATATAAGCTCTATAAGAACATGGTTCATTAGTCTCATAAACGTGCTAGGTGCATTTGTTAACCCAAATGGCATGACTAACCATTCGTATAAGCCCTGCTTGGTTTTAAAAGCAGTTTTCCATTCATCACC